ATTATGCATCAACACACCTCCTAAACCCATCAAAGAAGCATCACAATACACAACGAATGGTTCTTCTGGATTTGGCAGAATCAAAACAGGAGTTGTCGTCAACCTTCGCTTAAGTTCTTGAAAACTCGCTTCACACTTGGCGTCCCAAACAAAGGCTTGACCTTTCCTAGTCAACTGTGTCAACGGCAACGATAACTTAGCAAATCCTTCAATAAACTTCTGATAATAACCGGCTAAACCAAGAAAACTTCTGATCTCAAAAACTGACTTCGGAGTCTCCCATTGCGACACCGCTTCAACCTTCGACGGATCGACCGCAATACCACTACTAGAAATCACATGACCAAGGAAACTAACTTCCTTCAACCAAAATTCACACTTAGAAAGCTTCGCGAACAACTGCTTCTCTCTCAGCATAGATAACACAATCTTCAGATGCTCGGCATGCTCTCCTTCGCTCTTCGAATAAACCAAGATGTCGTCGATAAACACCACCACAAACTTATCCAAATAAGGATGGAAAATCCTATTCATGTACTCCATAAATACACCTGGTGCATTAGTCACACCAAATGGCATCACAGAATACTCATAGTGTCCATACCTCGTCCGAAAGGCCGTCTTCTGAATATCCTCAGCGTTCACACGGATCTGATGATACCTAGATCTCAAATCAATCTTGCTGAACACGCTTGCACCAACCAACTGATCCATCAGATCATCAATCCTTGGAAGTGGATACTTATTCTTAATAGTCACCTTGTTCAACTGTCTGTAATCCACACAGAGCCTCATAGAACCCTCTTTCTTCTTAACCAACAACACCGGTGCACCCCACGGTGACACGCTCGGGCGAATAAACCTCTTTTCAAGCAAATCCTCAAGTTGACTCTTCAACTCTTTTAACTCCGAGGCCGACATACGATATGGAGCCATCGATATCGGACTAGTTCCAGGAATCAAATCTATCGAAAACTCCACTTCTCGCTCCGGCGGTAAATCCTTTATCTCTTCAGGGAATACTTCCGGAAAATCTCTAACAATGGGAAAAGCATCAATCTCTTCACTTTCACTAGTCCTCAAAGTTGCCATAAGCATAAATACCTTAGCCCCATCTTGTACCGATTCCTTCACTTGTTTCCTCGTCATAAACAATTCCCTTTCAACATCCGAGTCGGGAAAAATAACCATTTTGTCAAAATAGTTAATATACACACGATTGAATTTTAACCAATTCATTCCAAGAATGACATCCAGTTGATCTAAATGAAGACACACTAAATCAATCCCAAAATCTCTACCGAAAATACTCAACGGGCAATTCAAGCAAACATACGGTGTAGTTACCGAACCCATAGCAGGAGTATCAATAACCATACCGCCACCAATCACAGATAACTCAAGATTCAACCTTCTAACACAATCCAAAGAAATAAAAGAATGCGTAGCTCCGGTATCAATTATAGCGATCAAAGGTGTACCATTAATGAAGCACGTACCTCAGATCAATCGATCGTCGCTAGCAGTCTCAGATCCAGATAGAGCGAACACTTTCCCGCTCCCTTGATTCTTCTTCGGCTTATCACATTTTGTACTAATGTGTCCTTGCTCACCACAATTGTAGCAAGTCACACCCGTACCACTTCTGCACTCAAGAGCCTTGTCGCCTGGCTTGCCACACTTAAAACACGTCTTCTCCACACTTTTGCATTCAAGAGCATGATGTCCCTCTTCACCGCACCTATAACATCTCACCGGAGTAGAAACTCCCCCACTTGGCTTCTTGCCAAAACCAACCTTTTGTTTCCCCTTATCAGCAGGAGTTACGTAAGGTTTTCCTCTGAATTGTCCCTTTCCTTTCTTGTCACTTAGACTCTTGTAGTGGCTGGACCTAGCCCTACTGTCTTCGTCATAAATTCTGCTCTTGTTAACCAACTCAGAAAACCGTCTGATTTCCTGGTACCCAATAGCTTGTCTAATCTCGGGTCTCAAACCGTTCACAAACTTGAGGCACTTAGACCTCTCAGCATTACCAGTATTATAGTGAGGACAAAATTTGATCAACTCCTCAAATTTCGCCGCATACTCAGCAACCATCGAATTACCTTGCTTCAACTCAAGAAATTCGATCTCTTTCTTCCCCCGCACATCCTCTGGAAAATACTTCTCCAGAAAGGTTTCTCTAAACAAATCCCACGTAATCACAATATCATCTTCCTCAAATCTTTGGCGAGTATTACCCCACCAATCTTCAGCTTCTTCTTCGAGCATATGAGTCCCAAACTGCACCTTCTGTGCATCCGAGCAATTCATAACTCGAAAAATCTTTTCCACAACTTTCAACCAAATTTGTGCCTTGTCCGGTTCATGAGTTCCCTTGAAGACCGGAGGGTTATTCTTTTGGAATTTCCCCAAAGCACGGAATCCATCATCAGCATGATTCCTCACATTCACATTGGCCGGAGGATTCTGCCCAATTGCCCCCGCCAATCTCGTCAATGCCTCCGCAATCGCTTCGTCGTTCCTTCCTACAACCATCTTACTAATTCCAACAACAGAACTACGTAAGAACAACCAATATTGATAATGCATCACACGCATATCAATAACACACAGGGAAAAACACTCTAACAACTTGGCCGGACGGACCGACCTGCTCTGATACCACTATTGTAACACCCCCTTCTATACCCCAAATAAATGCATATAAAACAATTAAGCACATACAAATTATCAGAGTAAAAATTTTAGGATAAGGTATAAAGGAAGAATGTCACAATTTCACCAACAAAACTCTTTAACATTTTGCTCCATAAAATATGTAACATTTTCGTAGTTTTAGAAATCACATTTCAACATTTAATTTAAGTGGAAGATAACATCATTTAATCAGTTCCAAAATATTAATCCACGTACACACGAGTTAATCCAAATTAATACATCATATCAGTTAGATTACATGATCACATCAACTGATACATCGCAATGTATCACAAAAGAATGACTATACTAGTCTAACTACCCGGTGTTACATATCAGAGCAGCAGACTCAAAAGAATGAAGAATACTTCACAAAAGGGACTCCAGCATCCTAATCTGCAATGCCTCATAGAGCATTATAAAACAGCAGAAGGGTGAGAAATATAACCATAATAATCAAAGCATAAGATTATATATATATATATATATATATATATATATATATATATAGGTATTCATATAACACATATTCACATTTCTCACCACACTTCATTCCCATAATCATAATTATATCATGCTCACATATATTAACATTATGAACATTCGCAAGCACATCCCTTCATGTTTAATTTCACAATCATTCACAAGCACATTTGTACAACAACAATATTATGCAATGTGACTCAACATATCCAATACAACTCAATGCTATGCGGTACCGACTCTCGTTATCTTTTTTTGGTTTTCACTCTAAACCGGGTCCACCCTTCTAGACCGATAACTCGTTATCATTTTTCGGTTTTTACTTTAAACCGGGTCCACCCTTCTATACCGATAACAACCAAGCCCGTCCCCTAGGCTTCAAACCCACCCTTCTAGGTTTGGGACAAGCCACTAGTTTCCACGAAACTAACAGACATTGCCTCTTGACTGAATGATGCATGTACAATCAACCAATCACAATAAATGCACTTAAGACCGTTCCCGCGTCTTAATCCCATGCATTCGAATAATTCACCCCTTCGAGAATTTCATCATGATTGCACATACAACATATATCAAACATTTATCAATGTATTCATTTCACACATCATCATCATCATCATCATCATCATCATACTCAACAACAATGCACACATACCACATATGTTCCCATGCATTTCCACAACAATCGCATATAAATATGCACTCACAATTCATTAAACAATACACATACATTCATCTTTATATTCACATGTATTTCTATTTATCACAATTAATGCGCATCGCATATCAACTAGGATTCACGCCCAGAGGCTACCCACACCACACATCATCACAATAGATCATATCTATATCATATCATAAGAATATCAATCTATGTGAAACCACCAAACTATCACCACATGAGCAACACAGCAAAAGAGAAATGCTGTCAAATTCGCCTTCGTTCGCCTGGCGAACCCTCGCAGCGAACCTTCGCTTGGCCTTCGCCTGGCGAACTCTCTCAGCGAACACTCGCTAGGCTTCGCCTGGCGAGACTTCCCAGCGAGCCCAAGTCAGTAGCTACTGACTTCATTCGCCACCATTCGCCAGCACCTTCGCTGGGCGAACCTTCGCTATCCAACTTCGCTTGGCGAACTCGCCAGCAAAGTCCACTGGGACTTAATCATAATTACTCGCCAACATTCGCTAGACTTCGCCTGGCGAAGCTTCGCCTTCGCTCGCCTGGCGAGAGCCAGCGAACCTGCGCAGAACAGAACCCTATTCTGCCTCTCCTTCATCAATCCATCATCAACCAAACCTCAAACATCCAAATCAGTACAAATAGCATCAATACATGTTACCCGACTATTCTACGGCATTATTGCTCAGTTTCAACCGATTAAATCACAGTTCTACCGATTATTCCAACTTTTGCCCTAAATGAAAAAGGATGGAAACTACACCAAAACCCCAACCCAACATATATAACATCATGCAATGATCAAATAGAAACATTTCTCACCCTTACCTCGATTAATCGGAGCTTTGATGTTGGTTCTTGATGATTTCCACTCTCCTCTTCTTCTCCTCTCTTTCTCTTCTTTCTTCTTTCTTTCCAAATGTTTTCTAACTTTCTTTTTTTTTTCTTCCTCACTTATATATTCCTTTTATTTTCTTTCCTTCCAATTTCCTTTCAATTCTCTATTACTTCCAATTAATAAAAATAAATTCCAATATTAACATAAAATCCCACTAAATCAATTAATTACTACAATTAATTATTTAATGAAATTTGGGCTGTTACATATAGTGTTACAATTAGCCCAATAAATGGGATGGATATGTGGTCGTCAGTTAAAATAGATGAATTACTTCCTCCTTTATACAAGAAAGGACATGAAAGGCCCAAGAAGCTAAGATTCAGGGAACTAGGTGAGGGAGGTTCAAGAATGAGGAGAGTTGGAGTTACCTATAGATGCACTAAGTGTGACAAAATTGGTCATAACTCAAGAAAGTGTAAGGTTACAATTCAGAATCTAGATGCTTTAAAAATAAAGGTACATTAATTCATTCCTATTGCAATATATTTTGAAATATTCATATTAATATCCTGTTGTTGATGTGGCTTCCATTTTAAAATGTAGATGAAGGCTCCTAGGAAAAAGTATGGAGTAGCACCAGTTGTTGACCAAGGAGATGCACCAAATGCTGAACAAGGAGATGCATCAGTTGTTAACCAATTAGATGTACCAGTTGCTGACCAAGAAGATGCACCAGTTGCTCAGCAAGGAGATGTACCAGTTGCTGAAGCACAAATTTATGACACTACTGCAATTCCAAAGGAGATGAATAAGCTCAAGGGCAAGAAAAAAAGTGAAACTTGTTGAACAATAAAGATCAAGTGACAAGTTAAAGGTGTTGAAAACCAAGACACATAAGGGACCTGGAACAACTATTGTTGAACCACTAGTCATTCAAGAGGATGAAGAGGGTACATTAACTTAAGAGCATGCTGAAGTTGGCTCAGACCCTAAGCTAGGGACATGTGTCAGGGAAATGAAGTCTTGGAGTGACATCTCAAGGGCTTATTGAAATCTTGAATAGTTTTCTGTTTTTTGTGTATTATAATGACAGTTGCACTTCAAGTGCTTTTGATTATGTTTAGGTCCTGCTAATATGCACTTAGTGTGCTTTTGATTATGTTTAGGTTCTGCTTATGACAGATGCACTTAGCATGCTTTTAATTACAGTTATGTTATGATAGTTGCACTTCAAGTGCTTTTGGTTATGTTGAATTACTTATGTTAAGATTTGGTTATGTTGTGTCAGTTATACCTTTAAGCTATGTTATGACAGTTATGATTTTAACCAAACTTTGTAAACAAATAATTAACCAAATTTTATATGTAATTCATCTCCTTCATTTATTATACCAAAATGATACATTACATGGTAAACAAAAAATATTACATTAAACACATTTTATAGACAACAGAAAACAACATCTATGACACTATCAGGGCCAGCATCAACCTGAATTTTTTATCATTTTCAATTTTGAACATCTTTTTTAACTTTTCAACCTTCTTTGAAATGCCTTCTTCCCATATTCTTTGGCAAACTCGATTCCAAACTCTTTTCCATATTCTTTAGCAAAACCTTTCAGATGCCAATTGTGAATTCACAGTTGTTACACTCCATCTCTTCACCTCTGAAAACTTTTGTGTTTCGACTGCTCATAAGAAGGTCATCCACTTCATCGTCCCAAACGAACAAATCGCATGCTACCTCACTCTACAATTAGAAATTTTTAGATGAATCAGACATGTTACTATACTCTAATTAGAATTAACAAATAGAAATTACCTTTCCACGATTTTTGCATCTCCAAAACTTCCTCCTAGAATTTTCTTGGGTATTTGACACGAACATCTTCATTGGAATGTTACAAACACATCTGAGTATTTTCCTACTGTCGCTACTGCGAAAATCGGCGCCGGCTGAACAGAAGAGTCGCCACCGTGCGTTATTTATCCCAAAGAGGGGAAAGGAAACGCTCGAGGTAAACCTACCGCAAAGACGGGAAAAGGAATGGTCATCGCAACCAAATCCTGGATTCGGGAGTCGGTTACACAAGGGGAAGGTATTAGCACCCCTCACGTCCGTCGTACTCGACGGGATCCACGCTTGTTTTCGGGTACGGATTGTTATTCTATCTAAACTAAGGGTTAAGGGTTAAAAAGAAAATAAAATGACTCGGCAAAGTATCGCACTTTATGCCTACGTATTCCCGTCTGGAACGAGAAATCAGAGTCAACGTAGTTCGCCTACCTACGGGAAAGGAGGGGAAGGTTGCTCGCTAGGATATCGCATCCTATGCCTACGTACTTTCATACAGCATGAAAGATCATAGCAAACGTAGTTCGGGCCACGTACGACACAAGTCTGTTTTGATTGTTTTTATTCCTTCTGAAAAAGGGTTTTTCTGATTAACAGTCCAGGCGGACAAAAATGACGTTTTGATGAGTTCACATTCTTTTATGGAAGAAGTGTCTTTTATTGTGTTTGAAATATTACTGTGTTTTTCTATTTTTTTTGAGAAGAAGAGACAAAACTCTAACCTATGGTTGAAAAGGGGATCACACTAACCTAATGTTATCATGCATGGGTTAAGACCTAGTGTCTATCATGTTTCTCTCTTGCGCAGAGAGAAATAGAGATCCTAAGGGATAAACGGAAACAGAAACAAAAGCATATATACAATAAAGCAGTAAAATGCATGGATGCAGCAATACAAGCGAGGCAAGGGAGTCCCACTCAACCTCGAACCTAGAAAACAATAGGCAAAAGTGAACAGAATTCACTTTCAACCCAACAGGTTAAACAGCAAGCAATACAGTCAGGGAAATTCAAACAATATATCAAAAATTAAACAGCTAAAAATAAACAGCCACAGCAGCTCTGCATCAACATCTGTCTTCAGGTCATCATCAACTATCCACCAGCTTTAAGCAAGCATCAGTCTTTATCTTCACAACCTTCAAGAAAGGTCTTTGTCATCAGTCTTCAATCTGCAATGGCTTTTCTTCAAGTCTCAATCTCCAGGATGAATATCAGTCAACAAGATGAAATGAATGTTAAACAGTCAACTGCCTACCAAGGGTGGCTCATTAACTGTTAACATGATACAGACAATTTTCTCTCAAAAGTTCTATCTTTCAAATACATTCACTAATCCTTCCAAAGGAAGGAGGTGGATATTTGAAAGAGACTTTGAATCATAGAGAAAGAATGGAGGCAAACAAGGCCTTCCATGTTTGTGAATCAAGTTCTACTCTAGAGCTCTGCCTAGCTCCTAAACCATACACTCCTCAACAGCTGCCAGCAAAGGATACTCCTCATCAACTCTGGAAGTTGGACTTCAGTCTCTTGATCTCCAATGGCCTTCATCATCACAGTCTTCAGCTCTCCCAATCCCCAAGCAAACCCAATACCCCACACAGGCAAATGAAATAACCCTAGAGAGGGCACACCATACAGTCAAGCAAATACAAGCAGTATACTGATAGTAATAGTAGAATAGGGGAAACCTAGTAATTTCTAAGGGATCTATTAACTACCCATAATCCCTATAGTCCCATACCCTAAAGATTCAAACTACAACTCCTAAGTGAAATGATTCATCACACCTATGTTATCCCCTAAACCCTAGTTTTGGTTCTCCTAATCACACCTAAACAAATCATCTAAAATTAAGTTCTAAAATCATGAATTAAATTTTATATACAAGATAAAGGTCTAAGCTAATCAACCTAAAAATAATGGATCAAAAATATTAAAGCATCTAACCAAACCAAAATTAACAATATCATGCATTAAACTAAACATTATTCAAACCTATTTAAAAGAAAAATATACTAAAAATATAAAAATGAAATGAAATACCAATTTTTTTATGTGATAATTTTCTTGACAGAATTATGAACAATATGCAAAAACAACCAATTAAAAACATGCAATTTTCAATTATTTATGATTTTATAAAGAAATGAAATGAATTAAGTAAAATTAAAATGAATTAATTTGGCTGAGGGGTGCATCTAGCATTAATTCCAGTTGAAAATGAGAGATGGGCCCAGACTGGGGGGCGCGCCTAGCAATGCGCGTCTGGGCCCGGTCAAACAGAAAACACAGCAAAAAAATAAAAAAAGAGGGAAACGGTGCATTTAGCAAGAATTTTAGTTGAATTTGGTTTTGGGCCTGCGCTTGGGGGTGGGATTAGTAACTGATTATTGAGCCCAGTCTGGGGGAATTAATGAAACGGTGCGTTTGGCTGAGTAATCTCCCTCCAAATTTCGTTTTAAATCGTGACCATTAGATCCATTACTCATTCAACCAACAAGACTCCATCCAACGGACCTCATGCGTCTTCTCCAAATGATTAGGGTTTTCAGCCATGGGAGCTCCATGCACGAGCTCATGGACCAGATCTTCCACTCATCCATACAACCTCAATTCTCCATGAAAACAAAATCTGTAAAGAGCAAAGTTGCTCTACTTCTTCCCCTCTACACAACCATAACAATATCTTCCTCTAAAACTCCATCAAAGATCAAACCCGATAGGTAGAACATCCTGAATCCATCATTTTCCCCTGCTATCAACCATGCCAATTCTTGCTAGCTTCTACCCTAACATGATCTACACTCTACACTGATCATTTTAAGCTATATATCCAAGATTATAGTGCAATAATCTAAGAGTTATAAGCCCTAACAGTTCTTGCACTCCAATGGCAACATCCAGGAAACCTTCTCAAACTCACCAGGATTAATCATCTAACCTAACCTAACAATTCTAACCTAATAATTCTCTAACATGCTAACTAATTCAAGCAATTCGATGAGAAAACCAACCTGGTGTAAATGGTGAAAACAGGTGCTGAATTCTTCAAATCCAATGCTTGCAATGATTTGGATTTGATCAGTGAACTTGATTTTGAGTTCTGTATGCAATAGATCTTGTTCCAATGCCTTGAATCTTGCAATCACAATGTTCTTGCTCCTTGGATGATGGAATTGGATAGCACGATTCCTCTTCAATTCAAACAAACCTTGATGTGAATTCTGATCCTTGAATGATCTAGATGATGATGAGATCAAGAAATTTGGAAATTGGTGAAGATTTGATGAAGTTTGAGATGGTTTTGCAAAAATGGAAGAATGATGTGTAACTTGTGTTATGAACAAAATGATTCACCAACCAATGCATGAAGCTACTCAATGCAATATATAGATGACATTGGAAAGCCCTAGAACTTTGTAGAAACTTCCCATGCACACTTTCCTTGAATTTTGGATTATGTAACTTCTTTTGTAAGTAACCAAGCATAACTTTCAAATCTTGAACCAAACTCAAAAATCCACTTTTGCCAATGTTCTTAAAACATTTTTTCCAATCAAAATGACCTATAATTTCATCTCATTTGGTCAAATTATGAAAAATCTCAATTTTAGGTCATTTTTTATTCATTAAATTCACCAAATTTGAAACCTTGAGCTATGAGCCTTTCCAAAATTTCATGATCACTTTTCTAGACTCAAAATGTCATTTGGAGTAAGTTTGATGTTGTGAAGTTTTTCATTTGAAGCTTCCTTGTATGAGATTTGGGCATAGGCTTGAAATGACCTGTAATTCTCAGATGACCAAAATACCCTTTTCTTGCCAAGACCATAAGTAGAGTTCCACAAATCATATGAATGCATACCATACCATTCTAGAAATCTAAGACAATGAGGAACAACTCTTATGTTGACCAGAAATTCATTTGAAATCTCCTTGAGGGGTAAAAGTTGCTTGGAAGACAAGTAACTTTCACAGACAAAAT